ATGGAGGGTTTAGAGGGTTTAGAGGGCTTCAAGGGTTTGGGGCTTTGGGGGCTACAGGGCTTAAGGGCAGGGTTGGAGGCTTCAGTTTTGGTGTTGCACTTGATGCGCGATAGCACTGTTGCTGTGGCTGCCAGGTGCTTGTTTTCGATGTTGGCTTCAGGGGGGGGGCAAAAGAGGCGAGGGCGAAGGGACCTGGGCCCTAACCCCTGCAATCCCCAAACCTCACCTGCACACCTGAGTCAGTCGACAAGAGCAGAGTTACGCCAGGGGCTGGTGCTAAACTCCCAGCACTAACCTAGAGGCTTGTCTCACCTTGGGATGCTGTAACAAGGAGGCTAGCTTCCACACCACCATGGGACGTCACTAAGACCTGAATGAACCCCAAACCCCCCAACCTCAGACCCTCAACCTTCAACCCCAACCCGACAGCATGCCATAGGGGTCGGAATAGATACTGTTACTAATGGTATTCCCTTATGGTCGCTACGTAAATAGACTTTCAGAACCCCGCCAAAACCCTATTCAAGGCCCTAAACCTTCCTAAACCCTAAACCCTAAACCCTAAACCCTAAACCCTGAACCCTGAACCCTAAACCCAGGTCCCGAAGCAGCCGAGACGTATCGCCGCCTCGGCGACTTCGATCGCGCCCCGGGCGCGGGGTTGTACTGAGCCGGCCTGTTCGGTTAGGGTTTAGGGTTTAGGGTTTAGGGTTTAGGGTTTAGGGTTTAGGGTTTAGGGTTTAGGGTTTAGGGTTTAGGGTTTAGGGTTTAGGGTTTAGGGTTTAGGGTTTAGGTTTTAGGGTTTAGGGTTTCGGGCGCTCAAAACACGGGCCCCGGCGCCTGGCGAGCAATCGAGGTGCATCGGACGTCCCATCAAGAGGACTCCAGCAGTAGACTCTTTGACTTAGGGTTGAGGGTTTAGGGTTCAGGGTTATAGGGTGTAGGGCTTAGGGTTTAAGATGCTTAGATTGATAGTCCTAACAGGGCTGTACTTATTCCACCTCAAAGCTCCGCGGACAGCAGAGCTAGATGGAACCGGACCCTCGTTTCGAGAGCAAAATCGGCGCGACTGCTTCAGGCCCAGGGGGTCCATTTGTAGTACTATTATGGAATTAAAGGTTTAGGGTTTAGGCTTTAGGGTTTAGGTACCCAAAAATCCTATTGAGTATGGTTGTTGTGTACCGAATTCCAGAAGAGTACTACAAATGGACCCTCTGGGAGGGTTTTCATGGGCTTTTGCCTCTGATCCCTAAGGTTGTACCCTTTTAGGGGGTTTGGGGACCTTTTTCAAGATATCCCGTGATAGACTGCAGAACTATGAATTCCTTGCCACAAATAAAACCTTGAGACCTGAACCACGTAAGCTCGCAAGACGCACTGCCAAGTGAGACATGATGCCCTTAATCAGAGGGTCCATTTGTAGTACTATTCTGGAATTAGGGACCCAAACACCTTACTAAATCGGGTTGTGGGTTGCCGAATGCCATAATAGTACTACAAATGGACCCTCTGGGTTAGTTACAAGTGGAGTTACAAGTGCCCTTCTGCAGTGTCCTAAGTTAATTATGGGGGGGTCAGTTCTGTACATCATGGTCCCGTTTTTGGGCATCCTAAATATTAGGGGCCGTAGTATAGTAGGGATCTGAAAAGGGACCATGATTTAGAGAACTCACCACATCATTTGTTCAGCCATGAATCGAAGAGGAGTCTGCTGGATTTGGGTTGGGGCATAGGCTTCAGTACCTTCCTTTAAAGGGATCTGAAGTATGGGCCCTGAATTTGTACAGGGTATATAAGGGGTGTATAAGGGGCCCCATTTATTGCAAGGCCCAGATTAAGGGACCATATAACTACCCTAAGAAGTGGGGTAACTCGGGGATGAGGTGCCCATAGAATCTTTTCCCGGGACCTGTATGGGAATGTATAAGGAACTCAATTTCCAAATTCCAACCTTAACCCTATAGGCCCTACACCCTACATAATCACCCTCCATAATCCCTTGAGGGGTTAATATATGGGTCGGGACGATGACTAATTGCATTCCCTGATGGTCACTATATAATTGTACTAAGAACCCCCCCCAAAAAAAAAATACTCTAGTACCTAGTTTCTCAAATCCTAAACCCAACACCCTAAACCCCTTTTGGCTTTGATGGCTTAGATACGTTGATGGAGCCTTCCTGCCTGACAGGGTTTTAGGGGCTTGGCGCTCAGGAAACCCTAAGCCCTAAACCCTAAATCCTAAACCCTTAAACCCTTAAACCCTTAAACTCTTAAACCCTTAAACCCTTAAACCCTAAACCCTAAACCCTGAACCCGATAGTATAGCACAGCTCTCTGATTCAATGATCCCTCTGAATTCCAACCTCGGCTCCAGGGTGCAGCTGAGTGATCCTTACACCCCCAAACCCGGCGCACAAAGGGTGTCAAGCACCTTAGATGGCAGGACTGGGGTTTAGGGTTTAGGGTTTAGAGTTTAGGGTTTGGGGTTTGGGGTTTAGGGTTTAGGGCTAACGTCGCCATCACACATGTCCAAGACGGGATTCTTGCGGCTTAGGTTTCAGGTAGAATCCCAGAAACGGTTCACTCTGCGTCATATGGTGGCAGATGGGTGCGTCACTGAGAGCGCGCACCATCAATCTTTTCACGTCAGCGAGCTCCCCCTCAGGAGAGGGGCCCTTGTGCAAGAATCAGGCGCAGAATGTCTCAACAGCCTCGAGGTGTCGGGGCTTTAGGGTTTAGGGCTTGTAGCAAGGAATCAACCAGCAAATGCTCGTGGGCAATCATGTTCCATGGATGTGCATGTCATGGCTTTCCCTACTACCCCGCTAAAGAACCTTAATTACTTAATTACGCTTGTGATTATTCCCCAAGTAGCCTTAATTACGGGGGGGGGGGGGGTAGTATAGAGGGGGGCAGTAGCGGAACCCGAAACCCTAAAACCTAAACCCTAAACCCTAAAACCTAAACCCTAAACCCTAGAGGGGGGTAGCAGGGGAACCTATGAGTAGATCGTAAGTCAAGCAGCAAGTCCCGTGTGGCAGGTGAGTCGAGGGTTTCAGGGTTTAGGGTTGAGGGTTTAGGGTTTAGGGGTTGGAGATCAGAATTATGATTCAGGGTCCTGTTGTGCAGGGTTCGGAGCTGTTTTTGCAGCAGAAGGGTGTTTTAAATGGTTTTCTGAGCCTAAACCCTAACCCTCAACCCTAAACCCTAAACCCTAAACCCTTAACCCTAAACCCTAAACCCTTGACCCTATAAACCTGAAGCCTAGGGGATGTTGATTTCATGTGAATCTCAGCCGGCCAAAGCCACAAGCTCCAGAAGTACCAACTTGCAGGGTTTAGGGTTTAGGGTTTAGGGTTTAGGGTTTAGGGTTTAGGGTTGGAGTTTTGGGCTTCGGGAATTGGAGTGTTGGGTTGCCATGATGAGTTTGCTCTCTGACATGTCTCACTCCTATATGATGGATACATCTGGGCTTATGGAAGCATTGCGAGGAGTAAGCTTCACTGCACTTAGTTACCCTGCACCTACCTTGGGCACGAAATGACCCCTAAAACGGTTTAGGGTTCATATACCTCAATAGGAATTTTAGTATATGACCCAATTTGAGGGTTCATTAAGGTAGTAGTCCTTCACCGGTTATTGGCGCGGGAAGAAGTCCTGTAGCACCTAATCTCCCTGTCATGCCTTGGCAGCAGTGAGGGGGATGAAGATATAGCTTTAAGGGCTTCAGGCTTTGGGTTTAGGAGGTTGGATGTAGCCCTAAACCCTAAACCCTATAAACCCTAACCCTATAATTCCTATAAACCCTATAAACCCGATAAACCCTACAAAAACTGGAAACCCTATAAACCCTATGAAGCCCCAAACCCTTGGTGTTTAGAGCTCGGTCACATGTCGCAATGCTGTTCCACGCGATCCACAAGAAGCCGGACACCCCTGGAGTTGAACGCCAAGCTGCCTGCTGGAGGGGAGGCTGCTGGGCCAACATGCGCTTTAGGGGTTTAGGGGTTTAGGGGTTTAGGGTTTCGGGTTTAGGGTTTAGGGTTTAGGCGGCTTAGGTTTAGAGTTGACTTTGGGGTGGAGGGTTTTGGGGTTCAAGTGAGGTGGACCTTTCACCCCATCTGCCAAAGTGCACTGTAGTACAGAGTTTTTCTCCGCAAGTGTTAAAGCCCTTTAAGCCCTGAAGACCCTAAACCCTAAACCCTAAACCCTAAACCCTAAACCCCTGAAGTCAACCTGAGGATGCTCCCATGTTGTTCCCGATGTACACCTTGGCCGCCGAAAAGTTGCTGGGGATGACCAAGATCGACCCGCACGAGGAGTTGAAGGCTTCTGCATATATATATATATATATATGTTTGGGGTTTAGGGTTTAGGGTTTAGGGTTTAGGGTTTAGGGTTTAGCCTATATTTTGTGTATGTTATTCTTTTTGGGGGGGGGTGCAGTTTGGTAGATACGCGGTACTTCGCCGGGCAATCAGCAACCTGAACATGCCAAGGCCTCTAGCAAGTAGGTTCTGCTTCCATGAGCGCAAGTTGAATAAGGGATGATGACCAGCGAGACCTTCCTCGTTTCGTGTTTTTGTTGTTAGGCTGGAGGGGGGCTCCAAAGCGTTAGCACTACGGAGCATGGGCCGTGCTTAGTCTTCTTCTGTGTTTCTCTCTCCACGTCCCAAGTAGGGAATGGTGGTCTTGGAGTCAAAGCATATACTACTGAGGTAACCCTAATTAGAAGGCACAAGGTATACTTCCCGGTCTGGCCAAAAGTTGGGAGAGCTTAGAGGGTTGAGGGTTTAGGGCAGCGCTGCTTTGTTTGGGGACTCTACTCAGGTTTCTGCGAAAGGTCTTTTGCAGGGCCGTCCCTTGCCAGTAGCCTTGCTCTGAGGTGTTTGCTGCTTTTCTGCTGACTCGCACCCTAACCCCTAAACCCTACACCCTAAACCCTAAACAACCGTACTGTGGAGGCCCGTGGAGATGTCGTCGTCTTCCACGACAGCATGGGGAACGCCGGTTTTGTGTCGCACCAGTGGGTTGATGAGCAGCACCCGGATCCGGAATTCAAGCAGATGCGGGTGCTTCAGGACGCCTTGAAGTGCCTCTTGCAGAGTTCTGGGTCAATCCCAGTAGATTTAATGACGGAGAATGCTGTGCAAAATGCCAAAGGCATCTCTTTCCGTGAGTTCCAGTCCAGACCTTTGTTTTTATGGTACGACTACATCTCTGTCCCGCAAATGCGGCTGTCTTCTCTCTACGCCTCGGGCGCGGACGTGAGGAGCGAGCAGGCCAGGGCCATCAATAGCATCCCTGCCTACATTGCCAAGTGCCGCTACTTCTTCGCGCTGTGCCCAGTGCCTTGGGGACGGTATATGAACCCTGAAGTTGGGGTCACACACCCTATATTACCATAATTCTCATTAATTGAGGTATATGAACCATAAACCCTGTTAGGCTTCATTTTTGTGAACCATAGACCCTTTAAGGCTTCATTTTTGTTCTCCAAGATGATCTATGAGGCCTATTAAGGTATATGAACCATAAACGCTTTTAGGCTTCGTTTTTTCCCAAGGTGATCGATTGTCCTCTGCAGGGTCGGGTGATGAATGCCATGAGCTGGGCACGGCGCGGGTGGTGTCGCGTCGAGCGTGCATCGCGTGAGCTTTCCAAGCACCTTGGCGACCAAATGAATCCTAAAAGGGCTAAGGGTTTAGGGTTTCGGGCTTATAGCCCTTATTAGGAAAAATAGTAGTATAGGGTAGTTGACCCAATTTCTTAGGGTTCATGTGGTCCCCCTCAAGGCATGATACATGGTTTCTAGTGCAAACTTCGACCTCACTGGAGCTTGTCGGCACCGCGTTTTCCTTCGTCACCGGGTCCGTTGGCGAGGGTGCGTTCACGGTGGCGAGCGATCGAGCGAAGCTCGGCCCGGTCATGCAGACAATCGTGAGGCAAAAGCTGAGGCTGTCACTCCAAGAAGGTGATCTGCCAGGCTACCGTCGGCACCTTAACTTACAGGCCGTACACCTCCGAGACCTTGGTGTGGAGCACGTCAAGGTCGCCGACCTTGGCCTGCACTTCGAGGCAGATGTCGAGGATGTCTGTGCTGGTGACGTGGTGGCCTCGTTCCTTCAGCAGAACGGGCTTGCGGCGGTCACTGCGAAGGATGCTGCGGGCTGGTGGCCGCTGCACTACGCGGCCCTGTCGGGGAACCTTGAGGACCAAATGAATCCTTAACTTGGGTCACGTGCCCTATACTCATATTGCTAAAAATTCCTATAAAGGTATGTGAACCATAAGCCCTTTAAGGGTTCACCTGGTCCCCCAAGGAATGTGGAGGTCCTCAGGGGCTTGCTGTCGCAGCGCGCGGATGTGAATCGGCGAACCTCCAAGAGCGAACCAAAGTTGGGGCTCCCACCCTGGGTCTCTGCTTTGGACCTGGTGCCTTGGGCACCAGATATATTCTAAAAGGGTTTAGGGTTCATAGACCTGAATTGGAAATCATAGCCACCCTGGTCTCTGCTTTGGACCTGGTGGTCTTGGGAACAAAGTCCTAGAAGGGTTTAGGGCTCAGGATTTAGGGTTTGGGGTTTCGGGTTTAAGGTGTAGGGTTCATAGACCTGAATAGGAATTATAGGAGTACAGGGTCGATGGCCCTAATCTTCGGGTTCATTTACTCCCCTCAAGGTGGTCTTCTACAAGCACAACGATGCGGCGCAGCTGTTAATCGCAGCACGGGCACGCCTGCAAGGTGGACGGGCTATTATACCCTGTACACCCCTTAAGGCCCTTTATAGGCTTGATTATGGGATAAATAGGGCCTAATGTTAGTGGCTAACCCTATAACCCTGAAAAAGGCCGGTTGATTACTGGGGTTATGGGGCCTAATAGCCCCCTAAACCCTATCAACCCTATAATCCCTATAAACCCTATAAACCCTATAAACCCTATAAACCCTATAAACCCTACAAACCCTATAATCCCTATAATCCCTATAAACCCTAAACCCTTCCTGGAAGGTGGGTTCTTGCCCGCCATGCAGTACGCGGCCGCCGCGGACAACGCCGAGGGCATCCGGTTGCTCTGCGTGGCCGGCGGAGACGCCCTGGGACGAAACCTCTTCGGCTCCTTGGGGTCCACATGAAAACCTGAAAGGGTTTAGGGTTCATTCATAGACCTTAATAGGAGGTATGGTAGTGTAGGGTATATGAGCCCCAATGTTCGGGTTCTGAAGTATGGTAGTCCAGGGTATATGACCCCCAAGTTTAGGGTTTATGTGTTGCCCAAGGCTCGACGACCCTGGATTCTGCGGCGGCGTTTGGCGCGCGGGGGGCCTTGGAAGAGCTCTTGAGCCGGGCGCGCCCCAGCCGAAACGACATCTGCCTGGCACTCCAGGACGGTCTATCATACCCTAGAGCCCCTTAAAAAAAACGGTATACCCTATAGCCCCTTAAAACGGTATACCCCACAACCCCTTGGGTTGATCATGAACCCCTTAAACAGGCCCTTTATAGAGGTTCTTATGGGCCAAGAGCGTCCATTTCTAGTAGTATTGTGGAATTAGGTACCCAAAAACCATACTAAATAGTGTTTTGGGGTACCTAATTCCATAACAGTACTACAAATGGACCCTCTGGGTGGGGATAATGGAGCCTAATAGCCCAAACGACATCTGCCTGGCACTCCAGGCCGCCATGCTCCACCGGGGGGGGTCGGCAGAGATGGTGCAGCTCTTGATCGACCGGAGGGCTGCTGGGTATGGTGCTGTTGGGATGTTTTTTGTTGCTTTGCCCTTTCTTTTTCTTGTGAGGGAAATGCTTATGTTTTGAATTCCTTTCTTTTTCTTGTAAGGGAGCCTATTCAGAATTCATACATGACTTTTCAAAGGGGTGCCAAGCACAACTCAGGCTGACGTGAACTTCCAGGTGGACATCCGCCGTGATCTGAACCGCTTCTCACGCCTCGTCACCGCAGCCAACACCCTGCAACACAGGCTTGGAAGAATCACGGCCAACTCCGTCCAGGCTTGGCCCTTTTCCCTTGTTTAGGGTTTTGGGTTTTGGGTTTAGGGTTAGGGTTTAGGGTTTAGGGTTTAGGGTTTAGGGTTTAGGGTTTAGGGTTTAGGGTTTAGGGTTTAGGGTTTAGGGTTTAGGGTTTAGGGTTTAGGGTTTAGGGTCTTGGTAGCCCAGTGGTACCTTTTTTCTTTTGGGGGGGGTTTCAAGGTTCCCTTATAAAGTAACCAAGCCAAAAAGAGGGGTGCCCTTATTATACTGTTTCAAGGTTCCCTTTTAAAGTAACCAAGCAGGCCTTCCATGCTCACGGTCAGACGCCCCTGATGGCGGGCTTGAAGTCAGCACAATGCGAGGGCGCTGCTGCGCTGATCGCGGCGGGAGCCCAGCTCCTTGGGGACGAAATGAACCCTAAAATTGGGGTCATATACCCCTGACTCCTATATAATTCCTATTAAGCTAATATGCAGCCCTAAACCCTTTTAGGGTTCATATGTCCTCCCCAAGGTTGGAGCTCAAGAACTACCGCGGCTGGACGGCAGCCGACTTCACCACAGGACAGTCGCTCCCGGACTTTCTACAGCAGGGCCTCGACGGAGACCCCGCTGAGTGCCAGAGAGTGTTTTCCCTTGCGCTCCCCGACGGCTACGTTGAGGTAGCCCTTTAGGCTCTCGAATTTCTAAGGGTCCATAAACCCTAAACCCTAAACCCTAAACCCGAAACCCGAAACCCGAAACCCTAAACCCTAAACCCTAACCCTACAGCCTACATTCCCTATTTTCGGTACATGGACTTTTTAGGGGTTTCACTCCCAGGCCGAGCCAGCAGGATCTGGCGGGGCCCGGCATAGGCAGGGGCCAGCCACTAGAGCGTCGTATCTGCTTATTATAACTAAGTGTCCTGGGTCTTTTCTGCAGATGTCAGCTATGCTGCAGCATACGGTATCTAATCTATGCCGTGTATGGACATTGACATATCTGGTTATTCATTTTTTACTTATGTATTTCTGTTTAAATTTATTTATATATTTATTCATTTATGTATGTATGGATGAAATTAATTAATTCAATCTTTTTTATTTGTTTGTATGTATATTCATATTCATAGTCGCACGTGAATTTGCATATGCACACATACATATATGTATATATATATATATATACATATCATATGTAAATCACCTTACTGTCTGGTTCCAGAGAGGCATTGGGGCAGAGCTGCTCCACTCGGTCCGTGCTCAAAGCATTTTTCCGGATCGGGAGGCCTCTGCCGTCGATCTTAAAAGATCAGCCACCGAAATTTGGAGGCCACGGCGGATAAGGTTTTTCCTACTGTAAATGAGCTGAGCTCGCTTGACAAGAACCCAGTAGCACGGACTCCGCTCCATCTGATGCGTAGAAAGGAGCGTGACGGCACGGTCTGGCCGATATGTCCACATGGGGGACATACAAGGAGGGGCCCCCTTACTAGACTAACTGTAGTTAAGGGACTTATAACCTAAGTTAGGATCCTTATAACCCAGTTTAGGGTCCTTCTAACTCTACTTATAACTAAGGGGGCCCCGCCTTGTAGCCTGCTGGTATGACAGGACAACCCTCAGTGCTCATAAGAACTGCTGGATAACCCTCCCATCCCCTTCCCACCTCCCCCTCCCACCTTCAGGGTTGAGGGTTTAGGGTTTAGTGTTTAGGGTTTAGGGTTTAGGGTTTAGGGTCTAGGGTTTAGGGTTTAGGGGCTCTTTGTTAGCATGAGGGGAAGCGGTTGAGTTTTCAGATGGCTCTTCGACTGGAATGTATAACCCCTGAACCCTAAACCCGACTGTGTTTCTTGCAGGTATCCAGAGACTCCAATATCCCTTAATTAAATTAAGGAATATACCTGAAATTATAGTAGGATCCTTGATATGATTTAAGGTATACTCCTTAATTCAGGGATATTGGAGTGTCTGGGATTTGTTTCTGTAGGTTTGTTAGTACAGGGCCTACAGGAAGGGCCACATTGAATCCCATTGTAGTGAAGGGACGTCTAGCCTGGGATATCGTGCTGAATCACTACTTCTGAGCTCTGACGACTCGGGTTTATAGAGTTTGGGGCCTCTAGTAGGGTCCAGGCAAGCCTAACCCTAAACCCGAAACCGGAATTTGGATCCAGAACCTTAAATCTCAAGGAGAACCGGCGCCTCGCTGTCTTGGAGTCGGCGTGGGCACTTCAGTCTCCACACCAGGTGAGAATGCCTTGGGGGCCGAATGGAGGTCTGCGAAAATAGGAACGCTTAAAAAAGACCCCTAATAGTAGGATTCCCTTACAGTAGGGACCCCAGTAAGGTACCCCTGATTTCGGAGACCCCTAAACCCTAAACCCTAAACCCTAAACCCTAAACCCTAAACCCTAAACCCTAAACCCTAAACCCTAAACCCTAAACCCTAAACCCTAAACCCTGTCTTGTAAAGCCTCCTAAAGCCCTCAACAAAAGCCCCCTACAAACCCCTAGAAGTGAGGCGCCCAAGACGCCCATCCTCACCTCCTTGGGGACCAGATTAACCCTGAAAGGGTGTACATGGCTTGGGGTTTTGGGTTTAAGGTTAAGGGTTTAGGGTTCAACGTTTAGGGTTCATATACCTTCATAGGAACTGTATCGTAGTACAGGGTATAGGACCCCAAATGTTAGGGTTCATTAAATCAACCAGACAGGGCATTTAGCCAGTCGCTCCTTTGGGGGTTTAGGGTAGGGTTTAGGGTTTAGGCTTAGGGTTTAGGGTTTAGGGCCTCTGTAAGGGCTTTCGGGCTCAGAAGGCTTATAGGGAGGCGAGGACTAGCGCTTGAGGGTCTAGGGCTCAGGGTTCAGGATTTAATTTAGGACTGAAGTTTTTGGCTCTGGGGTCGCATTTATAATTGCATTTATGGACCTGGGCTTTGGGGCTAAGGGGGGTTCAAGGTTTCGGAGGCGGTCTGCGGGGTGAGACTTACGCGGTTTACAGGAATGTGGGGACATTCGCCTGCTATGTCAACTTGGAGGCCCTTTGGCACGCGCAACCTTCGGATCCTCACTATAAACCCTAAACTTGTAAGCCCGTATGTAGCTGTGTTTCGTCTGAGGGGTGCATCAGTCTCAGGGGTTTACAAAGTTTTACAGTGTGAGAGTGGGGCAAGAAGCTCGAAGTTGAAGGCTTTTTCTCAGGGGTGTCCTAAAGAAATTTGTACGTAAGGGTTTGCTTGGGGGTCTGGACCAGAAACTTCGGAACCTTCGGTAGGGGCAGTTACCCTAAACCCTAAATGCTTTAGGCTTGAGGGTACGTTTGCAGTGGTGGAGCTGGTTTCCGGGGTTATTAGGGCTTAGGGTTTGAAGCCTAGAGGGTTTAGGGTTTAGGGTTTAGGGTTTGCGAAGTTCATAGGTCCCTTGGACTCTACCTCGGACCCCCAAGGTTGCACCCTTGGCTTTGCGGGCCCTTTTTACATAGGGTACAACGGGCCATATTCGGAGTCTCTTAGGGGGAACCTCTTAGAGGGTCCGAGTTTGAATCCCTTGATCTTAGGGTGGTTGCATGGTCCCTTCATTTCGGCCCCTTAAAAGTGGACCCCTGATATACCCCATACAACCCAAATGCCCGTACGTCAGAACCCTTTAAAGGAGAGAAGGACCAAAACAAGGAACCATACAACTACCCGAAGAGAATTCGCAGGTGTGGGGATGAATGCGCAGCAAGCAGCGACCTAGATGGAGCTGAACGCGTGGCTGGAAAAAGAAAGGAGGAGCTTGACTATCGTTCCTGAGTGTGTGTTTGGGTGGTGTAGGGAGGATGCAAGTAGGGTTTAGAGTAAACCCTAAACCCCAAATCCTAAACCCCCAACCCTAGACCCTAAACTCTAAAGTGTCGTTAAACCCCTAAAGCCTGAAGACTGTGGCTGGGCGTTTAGTGTGAGAGTCTTGAAGTAGCAGCTGTCACAGAAGCAGTCACATCCTGACCGTCCTGCAGCCTTCTTCGAGTTCTAGTCATTGTGTTTCCTATCCCTAGTCAGGTTACCAGGAACCCTAAGGACAGAATAATTAGGTCCCTGGAAGCATGGGGTATCAATAGCTACACTGAATAGGCACAACATTGGAGCCATGAGGTTGGCCCTAACGCCGTCATAACCTTCAACCCGAAACCCTAAGCCCTGCAAACCTTAAACCCTAAACCCTTTAAACCTTCAACCCCAACCCTGAACCCTAAAACTTGCAGAAGCTCTAAACCTTCAGCCCTAATCCGTAAAACAAACCTTCGATGCCATAAACCCTCCAGCTCACAACCTCATCCCTAAACCCTGAACCTAAACCCCAAACTTTTAACCCGAAGCCCTAAACCCTAAACCCTATCCCTATAGCACTGAAACCCTCGACTCTACCAGCCTGAAGCCCTAAACCTAGATGCCGAAAGCCCTTGGGCCTTCAACCTCATCCCTACAGCACTGAAACCTCCAACTCTGAATTCTAAACCCTAAACCTCAAAGCCCTGACCCCTCAAATCAAGCGCAAAACCCTGAACCCTAAACCCTAAACCCTAAACCCTACACCCTAAACCCTAAACCCTAGGAGGCTTTGCATCGAGCAGCGTCCGACCCAAAGCGCACGGCTTGACAGCAGATTCACACAGAGCATTTTAGGGTTCAGGGTTTAGGGTTTAGGGTTTAGGGTTTAGGGCTACGGGCTTAGGGCTCAGCGTGATTAAGCTTACCAGAATTTCCGGTCGATAGTCGACGTTGCCAAGTTGGATCCGGCATCTTGCCTGGGATGTGGAGGGTCTTAGGGATTGAACCCTAAACCCTATCAGGGGTTTAGGGTTTAGGGTTTTAGGGTTTAGGGTTTAGGGCTTAGGGTTTAGGGCCTTTCGATCATGGCCGGTCCCTGGGATGCAGCGAAGCTGGTGGAGCCACGCATGGCTTTCGGGGGGGGGGGGGGGGGGGGGGTCATTTCTTGGGAGCCTCATGTCTCGGGTTAGGGTTTAGGTTTTAGGTTTTAGGTTTTAGGTTTTAGGTTTTAGGTTTTAGGGTTTAGGGTTTAGGGTTTAGGGTTTAGGGCTAAACCCTAAACTCTAAACCCAATCTGATTGAGGGCCCAGGAGTCGGTGTTTGCTGCGGAAATATCCGATCTACAAGCTCATGGACAACGGAGTTTAGGGTCTAGGCTTTAGGGTTTAGGGTTTAGGGTTCCGTGTCTGAGCTAGCTTGTGGCGCCCTTGCCACACCGAAAAACCCTGAAGTTTACTAGTTTAAGGTGCCCAAAGCCCACAGAAACCTCATCAAAATCCAGAAGGTTATGTACATATTTTGCTTAACAAACCCAAATAAAGACGTGAAAAATAGTCCCCATTACCCTTATAAGGAAGAATCCTGTTTGCTTTCTCTGGTGGTTCTTAAGCAATAAGTCGTTACAAACCACTGTAATTAACCTCTGAGACCCTCAGGCCACGGTGGTTTTAGGGTTAGGGGGTTGCAGAATCCTGAAATTGCGGCTCCACACACCTCTAATTCCTAGAAGTCAACTCCCCTAAACCTTGAACCCTCTATTGAGTGCGCAAGCCCAACCTGCTAGGCCGAGTTCGCGAAGGTTCTGAAGGATTATCTCGAGAGGCGGGGCAGGGCTAAGGGTCCACGTACTAAAACGGGTTCAACACAAAGCCTAATGTCAAT